AAGTTTTCCAAAAGTAACTCATAAATTTGACATCTCGATCAGAAGTCATAGTCTTGGGAATTCCATGTAAACGCGCTATTTCTCGAAAATAAAGATCGGCGATGTGACTAGCATCCAAAGTTTTATTGCAGTCAACAAAATGAGCCATTTTCGAGAATCGGTCAACTACAACCATGACCGAATCTTTGTTGCGCTGAGTGCGAGGTAATCCCACAACAAAATCTAAGCTTACATCTTCCCACGGTGCTTGTGGTATAGGCAAAGGCATGTACAGGCCAGCATTACTTCCCTGGGTCTTTGCAATGCGACAGATACTACATCGCTTAACATGTCGTAATACATCTCGGGATAGCATCGGCCAATAAAACTTGGCTTGTATTACAGCCAAGGTCTTATCTCTACTGAAATGACCCATCATTCCTCCATCATGACACTCAGTGATTATGGCCTGCCGCAAGGATCCTCTGGGAATGCACAAACAGGATCCAAAGAATAAATAGCCTTCCTTGATATGAAATAATCTGTATGGCTGTTTTTGACATTTGTTCCAAATACTACCGAAATCTTCATCATCTGCGTAAGTCTCCTTCATGATTTCCATTCCAACTACCATCGTTTGCATTACGTGAAGCAACTGATGGCATCGGCTCAGAGCATCTGCAGCCTGATTAAGTGCTCCTGCTTTATGCTTGATAACAAAGTTGAAAGCAGCTAAAAATTCGGACCAAGCAGCATGTCGACTCCTCAATTTTGTTTGAGAATTCAGAAACCGCAGGGCCTCATGATCAGTAAAAAGGATAAAATCCTTCGCCAGTAAATAATGGCTCCAATGATGCAAAGCCCGAACTATGGAGTAGAACTCCTTATCATACGTGGAGTATTTCTGTCTCGATTCATTAAGTTTTTCACTGAAAAAAGCTATAGGATGCTTATCTTGGCTCAAGACCGCCCCTATACCCACGTTGGATGCATCACATTCAACTTCAAATACTTTGTTAAAATCTGGTAATGCTAATACTGGAGCTTCTGTCATTCGTTGTTTTAATAGTTCGAAGCTCCCTTGAGATCGAATTGTCCAGCAAAATTGGTCAGATTTCAGTAATTCGGTGAGTGGAGCTGCTATTGCACTGAAATTGCGTATGAACCTTCGATAGAATGAGGCCAAACCATGAAATCTCCGGATGTCGGTGAAAGACTGTGGTGTTGGCCAATTGGTGATAGCTTCGATCTTCCGAGGATCAAGCTTCAATACCTGCTGCAGAAATCACAAAGCCCAGAAACTCCATTTTTCGGTCTAGAAAGCAACACTTCCCAGGGTGAGCAAATAACTGCTGCTCCCGTAGTAGTAATAATACTTGTCGCAAATGACAAATATGATCCTCGTAATTACTACTATAGATTAATATGTCATCGAAGTATACAACCACGAATTTGCACAAAAAAGGTTGAAATACCTGGTTCATAAGCCTCATAAACGTACTTGGAGCATTGGACAATCCGAATGGCATCACTGTCCACTCATACAATCCATCACGTACCTTAAATGCTGTCTTCCATTCGTCGCCAGCTCTCAACCTGATCTGATGGTATCCACTTCGTAAATCAATTTTTGAAAACACCTTGGCACCATGTAATTGATCAAAAAGATCATCTATGCGAGGAAGTGGAAATCGATAACGAATAGTAATTTTGTTGATTGACCGGCTATCGATGCACAACCGGTAAGATCCATCTTTTTTTGGAACTAATAAAGATGGAACGGCACATGGACTTACACTGGGCCTAATGAAACCTTTGGACAGTAATTCCTCAAGTTGTTTCTGTATCTGCTCATGTTCATCTGGTCTAAGGCGATACGAAGGCCGGTTAGGAAGTATGGAACCGGGAATCAATTCAATTTCAGGTTGAATTGATCGCAAAGGTGGTAACCCAGCGGGAACTTCATCTGGAAACACATCAGCAAATTCTTCTAAGAGTTTCATGATTTCTGGAGGATACTTGATCTGTGAGCCAGTAACTTCCTTCAATATTAATAAGTAAAACATGGAATTCTCCTGTATGATCTTACGGCACTGGGAATAATTCAACAATAATTCTTCAGAAGTGATTCGTTTAGGCTCACCGTCTAAAGGAAGTAATACCATAGACTTTCCTCCATATGTGAAGGAATAAGTATTTATGGTACCGTCATGAGTAGTTTGACGATCATACTGCCAAGGTCTCCCTAACAACAAATGGCAAGCATCCATAGGAACACGTCGCACCAAACTTGGTCTTGGTATTGCCCGATTGAAAAAGCAACTAAACTGCGCTTCGTGACATTAACTACACTTCCCTTTTGAATCCAGGATAACTGATATGGTGCAGGGTGTTCTTCGGTTTTTAGCTGTAATTTATCCACCATTTCACAAGAGGCCACATTCTCACAACTTCCCCCATCGACAATTACTTGACAAACTTTTTCTTGAATAGTACACCTTGTTCGGAAAAGATTATGTCTCTGCTCAGGAACACCCTTCTGGGTATTCAGCAACTGACGAATGACCAATAATTGTCCATCATCCGCTGTAATAGCCAACGAACTTGAAGAGATTTCATTAATTTGACAGTTTACTTCCTCCTCATTACCTTCTTTCACCCCATGTTCTTCCTCTTCAAGAAGAGTGACTATGCGCCTGTTCGGACAATTTGCGGCAACGTGTCCAAATCCGTGGCACTTGAAACATTTTCGGGCGGGATAACTGGCGTCATTAAACACTTTCTGGTTCGTCTTGACTGGCTCCATGTTTTGACTGGTGCTCCGAAATTGTGGCTCGTTCTTGCTTCCCCCTCTATCTCTACTGGTTTCCTTATTTGGCCAAGAATTTTGCCATTTTTTTGAACGATTTTGCTGCTTTTCCACTTTAAGAGCCAAGTTGACGACATCCTGAAAAGTCCAGTAAGTCTGTAATTGCACTATCTGGCTAATGGCGGGATGAAGTCCCTCTAAGAACCTTGCGATCGTGTTCTCCATCGGCTCTACTAAATCGCATTTGAGTGACAATTGCTCAAATTCTGCCAGATATTCCTCAAGATATCGGCTAAATATTAAATGATAGGTTGATGTAAGTAAATCACCAAAACAAATAGTTGGAATAAGATTAATGATGATAATGATGGTTAAAGTAATTAACTCATTCTATGGTTGTTGTAAAGAATGAAAGTCACGTAAAGCAGAGAAGGTTTTTACAGAGAAAAGCTATAAGAGACTAGAGAGGATAAACAACTTCTGCTATCATGTATAAAAAAGCTTGTACCGTAGAATTGATGCATTGCATAGATATATGAAGGTGCAGGTGAGTACAGGTGTAAGGCTTGATACCGGAAGCGAATCACGTCGTCGAAAATGAAACTGGAAGCTTACCAAGTCATCGTACTGAGTGAAGAAACAAACCACCACCGGAGCTAAAAGGCCACTGGATACAGAACAAAGGAAAACAGAGTTCTTGAACTCTGGCGGTAAATCAGATTGATTTATTTCTCTAAAATCCAAAAGCTACTGAAACAATACAATTCAGCCTTTAAATAGGCGCAGCTCAAAAACAATTACAGGGAAGATTTATTTACAGAAAAACCTATAAGCAAACAAACAGCTAAACTACCAGCTCCCTGAAGTCGTTTCCGTTAATCTGCTCACGCCCATCTTCAGCTCCTGCGTCATTCTCCCGGGGTAAAAAACTCAGCCTCATAATGTGGAGTTAAATCAGACACATTAAAAACTGCTGAAATGTTGTGACTGCCAGGTAAGTCGATCTGATAAGCATTATCATTCACCTTTTTAACTATTCGGAAAGGACCAATTACAGGGAAGATTTATTTACAGAAAAACCTACAAGCAAACAAACAGCTAAACTACCAGCTCCCTGAAGTCGTTTCCGTTAATCTGCTCACGCCCATCTTCAGCTCCTGCGTCAAGGCTGGGATGCAATTGTTTTGTTATGATCTAACTGTAAGCATGTGCTCTGCTCAGGTGAGTTGTTCTTTTCGCCTGCTGTGGCAGCATGATGAGGAGGTGTTTTTAGTTGTTGATGGGTCGAGGAAGACAATGCCCTCTACAACCACCCCAGAATAAAATATATCTATCTTTTTATGCTCCCAAGTTACCTTGTTTATTAAATTTTCTTAAAATAATATTAGCATCCATGACTACTAATGAAAAGACAATTATAGCACATGAGAAAATCGCCCAAACTAAGTATTTTAAAAGTCATTTGAAATCAGAAGCTCATGACATCAGAATTACCCTTCCTTTCTTCAACTTTCTTAGACTTACAAGCTCCCAACACTATCAAACATAAATACACAACCACCAGTCGAGGACCAAACAAAAAAGTACAACACTTCATCTTTTGTGCTGATTTCAGCTCCAAAAACTATCCTAGCTATCCAGATTTTATTGCAGTTGTGAATCCAAAAGTATCACTTATAAAAATAGCTTAATAACAAAATTCTTAGCAGTTAAGAAAATAAAAACAAAAATAATAAAAAAGGGCTTAAACGGACATTACCTTCAGTTCCTTCAGACTAAATGTGACATCTGCGGGATCTCCTACATGCCGATACTGTAAAAACTCTTCCACCGGATCAATCCAAAGCTGAGTATGCAGCGTGGAGTCACTATTTTCTATCAGCAATACAAAAAACCAGCCCAACGCGATCAATAGACCTATGTTTAAAACAATAAAACAAAACTCGTAAAGTAAAAACCTTTGGCTGGGTCAATATAACTCCGGAATTCCACCGCTTTCCCTCCAATCTCCTCCTCGGCATCTGAAGGCACCTTGGACGGATCAGTAGCTATCATGGTTATCTCCTGCAACGACGACTGAAAATTCGACAGCAGCCGGGTGAGATCCCGTGGCCTGACGACGAAGCTGGTCTGTAGTGTTCTCCGATCAAGGGAAAGATTTTGGATTTCAGGCTCCACGTTGCAGGAGATCCAGTAGGTCTTCCTCGCCCCTGGGGAAAAAGCAGGAGAGGATCGGGAAATGAGGGGAAACTGGGAGAGAAAAAATAGCTTCGTACCGTTATGGCAATAGAGGGTCCATTGGAGCTTAGATGCTTCGGGAGAAGGAAGGAGAATGCGGAGAACAGAAAGAGAGGACACGGGGGTGCGGAAGATCGAGCAAACGGATTTGAGGAGGACACTGCAACGAATTTCCAGCGACGAGGAGGAGAGAAGGGAGTATGAATCAAAGAAGTCGGTCCTAAAAGTGATCGACTGGTAGGCCGAGCGGGAGGAGTTGAGTGTGTGGAACGCCAGCTGCCGTCATTAATGGAGATAAAAGGTTAGGAAAAACTGTGTGCGTGAGAGAGAGAGAGAGAGAGAGAGAGAAAGAGAGAGAGAGAGAACCTGTGAGTTGGAACCGTGAACAACGAGCTCCGAGCCGATGCGCGCAAAGCAAGTGACGCAGCGATGGAGAGTTTTAAGCGAGTTCCCGCTCAGGGAGAGCTCCATGACGGCATATTGCTTCTAGGGGTTTTTTCCGGTTTCTTAAGCGTGGGTGTACGCTGAAATCGGGGGAGCGTAGTTGTTTTCCGCGAGGGTACGCATTGCGTTACTTCTCTTCTTTGTTTTTTTCACAATGTTAAAGGGGGTGTTTAGCAACAAATATGATTTAATAAATTCCCCCAAAAAAATATGATTTAATAAATCTATTTTTACCACCATGTTGAAAAAGGGGTGTTTGGCAACAAATAGAATTTAATAAATCTCGTAAATTCAAATTTTTTAAATTCTAAAAAGTTAAATTTGAAAATTAACTTTAAAAAATTATTATATTCTATAAAATAGTTTGGAAATATAAGTTAAGATGTTTAGTATATTCAAAACTTAAATTTTAATTTATATTTTAAATATGTGTTACTTATTAATTATAATTTTAAAATTATCAATAAATTATTAATTATCAAATAACTTAATCAAAAATTTAGTTATTAATAAAAATACTTATGGATAGAAGTGGTGAATATAGTCTGTTATGTTATGAATAGAGTTAATGTTAGATCCAAACTGAACAAGACAATATGAAATTCTTAAAGGTATGACACACAACATCTCTCACCTTCATGTCTTTAAATGTAAAGTGTTCATTCTAAATAATGAGAAATCTCTACTACAAAAATTTGATCCCAAATCAAATGAAGGATTATTCATAAGATACTCAAATGTTGAAAAATTCTTTAGAATTTTTAATAAAAAGACACTAATGGTAGAGGAGACCACTCATATTATATTTGATGAATCTGATAATTCTAGAGGGTCTAGGATAGAAGTAAAAGAAGTTGTAAAAATCATCTAAGGAGTAGAATATATAAATCTGAAGGAAATGGTAGAACCAGAAAATTCACTACCTAGAGAATGGATATATTCTTCAAGTCAACATAAAGAACTGATCTTATGAGACACATCTAAAGGTGTTAGAACTAGGCATGGATTTAGAAAAGAAGTAAACTACTTTGTATTTATCTCAGTGATTGAACTCACTAATATAAATCAAGCTATATGATAAATTTTAGATCCTAGCTATGCAAGAAGAGTTAAATCAATTTGTGAGGAATGAAATTTGGGAACTAGTTGAAAAGCCTAAGGACCAGATTATTGTTGGAACTAAGTGGGTTTTCAAAAATTAAATGAGTGATTATGGTGTTGTAGTAAGAAACAAAGCAAGATTAGTGGCTAAGGGATATAACTAGATAGAAGGGATTGACTTTGAAGAGATCTTTACCCTTGTAGCTAAATTGAAAGCCATTATGGTGCTACTAGCCATTGTTTTCTTTAAGGGATTAAACTGTATCAAATGAATATCAAAAGTGCCTTTTTGAATGGGATAATAAAAGAAAATGTGTATGTTGAATAACCCCTAGGCTTTAAAAATTCATAATTTCCTAATCATGTGTTAAAATTAAAAAAGATATTGTATGAACTAAAATAAGCACCCAGAGTATGGTATGAAAGACTAAGCACATTCTTACTAAAGAGAACTTTTGTTAAGAGGAGCGTACATACCACCCTATTTCTAAAAAAGTAGGAGATGAACTACTCATTGTCTAAATTTATATTGATTATATGAGTTTCTGATAAAAATCTATGTGATGAATTTTTAAAAATAATGAGTAAGGAGTTTGAGATGAGTATGATGGAAAAATTGACCTACTTTTTATATTTAGTATAAGGCATAAGGATGATGAAATTTTCCTTAGTCAATCAAAATACATTAAGGACATCCTCAAGAAATATGAAATGGATTAAGCCAAACGAATAAACACTCCCATCAGTTTCACTATTCGGTTAGATAAGGATTCAAATGGAAAATTAGTTGATTAAAAAAATATCGAGGAATAATTAGATCACTTCTTTACTTGACTACTAGTAGACCTAATATTATATTTAGTGTTTGTCTCTGTGCTAAATTTTAGGTTAATCCAAAAGAGTTCCACCTGACTGCTATAAAGAGAATCCTTAGATATCTCTTAGGAATCCGGTATCCTAGGCATAGCACTTCCTTTAAAATCATATACTATTTTGATTCAGATTTTATAGGATATAGAGTTTATGGAAAAAATACTTCTGGAACATGTCAATTCATAGGATAGTCCTTAATCTTCAAGTCTAGTAAAAAAATAGAACTTAGTTTCCTTATCCACTATTAATGCTAAATATATAGCCTTAGGAAGTTGTGTGGCCCAAGTTCTTTAGTTAAAACAACAAATACTTGATTTAGGATTACATGTAGGCACCATTTAAATCTTATGTGATTACATGTAGTCACCATCTACATTTTAAAGAATCTAATCCAACACTTAAGGATAAATACATAGATATAAGACATCATTTCATTAGGGACCATGTTATCAAAGGAGACATAGAGCTACACTATATAGCTACTAAAAATTAACTTGCTAAAAGCTAACTTGCTGATATCTTTACACTATGTAGGCACCATTCCAATCTTATGTGATCACCTGTAGGCACCATCTACATTTTAAAGAATCTAATACAACACTTCAGGATAAAACACGTAGATATAGGGCATTATTTTATTAGGGACCATGTTATCAATATTGCGGATCTATTTTCATGATTTATGATTTTCATGATAGCAAACACTCCTATATCTCTACAACGGCCTTATTTAATAGCATTTCAGGTCCATACGATCAGACTGCAATTTGGAACCAGCTCAAGAATGGATAGACTAGGTCTGAGTCAGTTTGTATACTTTTTCCTTTCTTAAGTCTATTGTATTTGGTGTGGTTGTGCTCCTAAGCTTTGTAACTTGGAAGATTTTCTAACTGTTCTCTAGAGTTAACTATTTTTTGTAACATCATCAGGGACGATATTTATATTGTCCTGGATGATCTGTTCAAAAGCAAAAACCCTAATTAGGGCATCCTCATTAAAGCAGCCTTCATTATGCAAAACACATCTGTCTTTGACGATTTTGTATCGGCTAGGACGATAGGGTCAATTTAGAAGAATCTACCACAATCTATTTAGGAATTACTTATTTTGGACATCGCCAGTGGATCGTCCAGGACTATAAAATATCGTCTAGGACGATCCAGGACAATTTTTTCCAAAATTTCTCTTGAATTTAAGGAAAGCATATTATGACTTGAATTGCACGATCAAATCGTCCTGCCGATATGCTGACGATTGGACATCGACATTCTTTTTCCAGGGTGATGTTCAAGACGATATTCCACAATTTATATAGATCATCCAGGATGATAAATTATCGTTCGGGATGATAAGAACAAATTTCTTCTGATCGTCTCAAATCGTCCTGGCTGATTGGGCTTAAATTGTACTGATCGTACAACGATATTAGTATTCGTCCTGGACGATATGTCGGCAACTTGCATTAATGAGATCGTTTAAGATCTTCTATTTAAAGCTATGACATGACACTTTTATAAGTGTTTTGGTAGTCATTGTAGCTTCATTGTTTTGGGGGAAACTTGAAGAGAGAGCTTGAAAGGAGTTGAGAAAAGGGTGGAGTTTTAGAGAGGGGAGAAGTTCTGTGAGGGGGGACTCAAGGGAGTGTGGAGGAGGTTCCACACAGGTTGCTCCGGCAGCTCGCACCTAAATTACCGTTGGATTCAAAGGCTGTCTCAAAGGAAGTTCACCAAAGAAGAAGATCGTCTTTTTGGTGTCAAGGGACCCATCGACTCCGGCCCACCGGGGAAGGTTGGAATGGATTTTAATAAGGGCTTCTCCGCTTGCTGTGGGGGCTAAAGGAGAGACACTTAGTTAGTGAAATACTCGGAGGATTGCCTCGAGGAGTGGACGTAGGTTAAGGTTTGACCCGTAACCACTAAAATCTGGTGGTGTTTCTTTCATTATGATACTCCGTTTTAATTTCCACACTTTAGTTTTTCTTTGTGGTGATTTTGGTTTGTAGTTTGTTATGAAATAGATTTTTAACAAAACCATATCACCTCTATTTTAATTAGCCTTGGGCGCTAGTTCTTAAGGGCCAACATCCCTAGCGAACTTTTAAGTGGTATCGAAAGCACTTTCTAAGTGGCTATTCTGAGCACTTTCTAAGTGGGTATCAGAATTGATCATAAAAACTAAGTGTTGAAACTTTTTGAATTAGATCGTATGCTAATTTTTAGTAATCGTAATATTGTGCGGAAGGTTATTCGATCACAAGACACCTTTAATGTTAAATATTGACTTTTGATTTTTGAAAAATTTATATGACTACTTTTCTTGCCAATTCGATTGATTTTCGCATGTTGCCTATGATATTTAACTGGTTTATTCAATCACCATCCAGTATTGTTAAAGGAGTTTAAAACTTGATAATTCCTTTTTTAATCAATGGGACAGGGAAGAAAACAACTAAATCGCTTATTGAATGCAAAATCATTAATTACTTTTCTGTGCTTTAATATCTGAAGAGTTTATGTTAATTCCCCTGTACTACTGGGTAAGAGTTTTTGGGATACACACACCAATATAGTGAGCACTCTGTGAAATAAAACAATCCAAGTTGAATATGTTAATGCGATGATTTGGAACTATTTTCATGAAATCTTATGAAATGGATTCTTGGAGCATGTATAACTAGGTTATTTCAAATTGTGTCATCATTGCGGATTGCTTAGGAAGAATTTTCAAAAATTAAAAAGTTAACCAATATCTTCGTTGTCACTGGAAGTTAATGGCTAAAGTTAAGTTGCTATTGTGAATCAAAAGATTGTATATGATAGCTTATCTATTATGAAAGCTCGATGGGACAACTTACATCCCATTGTCCTAAATGAGTAAGTTTTGGTCTAAAGATCATTTTGATAAGATGTGAAACGATTGTTACCTAAAGCTGTGAGATACAGAAAAAAGATTAGCTTAAGTTCGGTGATCGGATGCAAACTTGAGTCAAGCATAAATCACAAAAGCTCACCAAATGCATAAGCAAATGTGGAAAAGGTAAAAATGGTAAAGCTGATGCTCCATTAATTTGTCTTCTGACGTTATTTCTTTCGATGCAGGAAGTCCTAGAATAATAAAAATTCAGTGCCTCTAATTTAGAACTC